ATGAGCAATCAACCTCATCATCTACAGATATTTCACTCATATCATTGTCATCGTCAAATTCAGATGTGTTATCAACATTAAGTTTGTTATCTTAACTCAACTTTGTACTTCATGAGTCAAACTTCTGCACATTGTCATATTTAATTTGCTTTTTAGCATTCTCGTCCAAAATCTGTTTTAGCATGTTCTTGTGGTCTTTGGACTTAATAAATGATTCAATTTTGTCCAGACCAATCATGTAAGCTTCTGAAGTTTCTCCAGATAATACGATGGATTTGCACTTGAAACAGTCAGCGTCGATGTCATCTTCCTTTAATTCAAGTAATGGCAATATCATCTTATGGAATTTTTAACCAATCTGACAATCAAGATGCAATTGATTAATATTAAAATAAATCCTTTTGCAATCAAACAAAAAAAATTACATTGTTTCAAAAGCATTAAATTGTCTCTTTGCAAGTAAATTAACTCATCCCTATACTTAGCTAAATCGGACTCAATATTCTCTATCCATATGCGTCTCTCCTTACTCGTTGATGAAATCCTATTGATTTGATCGGTTAGATTAGAATTTGTCAAGTGAGTTTGTTTGAAACTGTTGCTGCTACTAGAAAATGTGAATTTTAATTCATTTAGTTCTGTTTTGTATCTTGACACATGTATATTGAGAGATTTAAGAATAGATTTTACCTTGTTAATCATTTGATCGCATTCGTTGACTTGCTCAAAAACTGGTTTTACAGTGAAACAACTATCACTCCGATGTTCACTATCAGTGGCGTATCCTCGCAACTGTGACACATCATTTGTCACCATGAAACATCTTCCTCCAGAATGTGAATTCTTTTCTTTTGCAACGAAACTTCTCCCATGAGTTGGCTTGCGAACCTCCTCATCTACTGAATCTGTGGACCAGACTTTCACCCTGCCAAATTCATCATCAGCTTCTTTTTCCTTCATAATTAAAGCAGGCATTGAATTATCAAAGTTCTTTTTTTCTTTATCTCCTCAAGCTTTCGGAGATTTTTAAGTCTCATCGTCTTGTCCTTCCTTCTTTTCATTCAACCTTCACAACATGCACTCTTTGGCCAAGTTATTTTTGCCATGACAGTAGTTACAATCATAGCCAGAGTCACCAGTCAGCTTCTTTTCTGTCTTTTCCTCTTCCTTTTGTGAGCTATTCCTCAGAGCTATAGCTTCCCTGCTAGATTCGGTTCCTGTTATTTGGAAACTTCTTCTTTGCAAATCGCTTTGGATTTGATACCTTCAATGTAAACTCTTCATTTTTAAGCTCACAATCAAAAATATCTCTGAACCATCCTCTTCTACTTTCTTTCCCTTCACAACGAGAGCCAAAGATCCCATCCCAGATACAACTTTCGCTTCTTTTGTCACCTCATTTTCATGTGAGTTCAGGATTCCAACAAGCTTTTCTAAACTATAATTCTTGTACTGCTCATTTGCCTTGATTGTTGACACCACCACCATCCACTCTGATCTAAGCTCATTCATGAGCATGACTTTTTGTTCAATAACTTCACGTCCAATACCATGTTTCATCATCCTACTTAGAAGACGATTATAACTGTTTAAAGTTTGACTCAAAATCTCTTCAGGGTTCTATGTAAAGTCACCAAACTTTGAAAGCAAGAGTATTTGTGTAGAGTGCTCAAGATCTGCATTTGTAGAGTAAAGTTCCTTAAGCCTTTCCTAGATGGCTTTGGCTGTGTCACATGAACTAACCAGAAGAAAAGTGTCAGCTGACAAAGCAAATCAAATAATTCTCATTGCCTTAACATTGCTAATCAGTTTGCATTTCTCATCTTGAGGGACATCTTTAACTTCAAGAAGAAGTTGGTTGTAGTCAGACTGGGTTTTAATAACTCTTCTGGTTCTAGTGTGAACAAATGCTCCAATAGTGATGGCTTCCCATATCAAATATATGTTGTCTTCAAGGCCAAGAACTTAATCTTCAAAATGAAGTGCCCATACGTCATATGCATTAGGGAAAATAATAAGGATCCTAGTTGTCAATCCAATGGTGCTTGAAAGGTTAATGGATCTGATGTGAGAATCGTCGTGCTACATGCTGATATACTTTTTGAGACCTGTTAAGAATTAGATGTGTATACTGATGTAGTTTTAGGGTAATATTGAGATCACATAATAACTTTAAGGAAACTGTGATGACGGCTAAACCAGATCCAATATTAACGGAAATCCTAACGACTCTAATAACAGAAGAGATGTGTATAGATTACACAGTCTCATGCTCTGATACCAATTTTTAGGATATTAATCCTTGAAATATCGATTAGATTCAAAACAAGAACAAGAACAATGATTCAAAATATGCTTAATGATTATAAGCCACAACCTCATAAGAACTCGATTAAGAATTGCTACTGTAGAGGCATGATTAGGGTTACAAGAATAAATCCAAAGTTACCAAACATCATGCATGCATGCATGCACCTTAAATACTATAACCCTAGAAATAAATAACGGGTGGACAGGCCCAACCGGGAAAAAAAAAAAAAAAAAAAAAAAGCCCAATGATGAAACACAATATCTTCAACAGGATGGATTTTTCAAAGTAGAATTAATCCCTTGATAAGAAAAGAAAAAAAACACAACTCGCAGATAAATAAAAGTTTTTTGTTATTTTATTTTATGAGGTATACTATTGACCTTTTTAGAGACTTGGGTAGTGCTACCATTTGATAATTCTTGTGCCATCCATGGTAAAGTTCCTCTCACACCACCTAAAACTAGAATATTTTGTTTGATCCTTGAGAATCCAAAGTCTCCAACCTGTAAATACTTAAGGATTCATATTACAAACCAAAAAAAGAAATTTGAAAAATTAACAATGCTAGTAGTTTTAATTACCTTACAAACAGGTCATTCTGGATCACGCATATTAACTAACAAATTGTTACATTTTAGATCAAAATGTATAATGATTTTGGATTGCCAATATTCCATCCCAAAAGTTTCATCCATGGTTATTATGAGCTTTTTACAATGATCAAGTGACCTTAAATGAGATAAAAAAAAATTCAACATACTTAAGACACAAAACTAGGAACCAACCAATGGTTTCATTTTCATGAGAGATAAAAGTGAATTTTTTTTTACCTGTCTTTTATTACCAGGACATTTCTCAGTGATCCATTTGCCATAAATTCAGTAATAGTAGCTAAAGTTCCACCAGCTCCATCTAGTACAACACAATAAAATGCAACCACGTTTGGATGATGAAGATTTGAAAGGATCCAGGCTTCTCTCCAGAAATCATTCGTCTGGACAATTGGAAGTCCATGAGTTTTTATTTATAGGAGTTAAATAGAGAAAAATGCAACCACTCTAAAGGGAAAATAGTAATTATAGATGGATAACACACCAACCATTCTTCCTAAGATGATCTCCCACCAAAGCAGCTTTTCTTGATTCTTTTAATAGCAATACCTGATCCACGCCATATGCCATGATATACAGTTCCATATGTTCCAGATCCTAATTCTCTTAGTTATTCGAGTTCAGTAATATAGGTATGTGTGTATGTTTATATTTATGTCTGTATGTATGTATGTGTGGGTGTAGAACATAGTGTTATACCTGGAGGCCATACATATCAGCTTCCATTTCAGCCATCAATGCATTACTGAATTGGCCATCCTTACCTCATTATCTGTTGCAGCGTTCTGCAAAAGATATGGAAATACCTCAACTAAAGGTCAAATGTCTATTACTTTAAAACTGGATCTTAATATCTGATAGAAAAAGCGCATACCTCGACATTGGAATCTGAGAAAGTGCTTTCAGCTTCTGTTGATTTGAGGATTAAACTTCAGTGCTGATTACATCTAACAAAGGAGAATTGCTTGCAGCATCAATCATATATACCAAAAGGTCAAGCAACTCTAGTTGATTATCTTTCATGCCCTGGATAAATGGAATTTCCATTTCTTTATGCATTTTATTGTAATATGCTTCATGATTTGAGTTACCAACTTCTTGCTTGGTGTAGATGAAAAAGTGTTCATCCATCAGTGAAACTTCCCTCCTATGACCAGCAGATGTAGTTGGATTCTAAATCAATGGCAATTGAACAACATATTCATGAGATACATTATTGGATAAGCCATGAATTAGATCAGTCAAATATTTTTCAGGGTTATGGGCCCATTGCGTACTGATTCCCTGTTAACCATTTTCGATTCCAGTTGTTACATGTTGCTGATTCTCAGTAATTCTTTGGTTGTTAATAGCTTCTTTTACATTGGTTACAGTTGATACAAGGATGATGTGATTCGGGTCATTCAGGTCATGCAGTACATATATCTTATCAGAATCAACCTTTAAAGGCTTTAATGGTTTGTTGATGTCATCGTTTGCAGTTGCAGATGAAATGTTCTTAGAAAAGTTTTGCAACTTCATAGATTTAGAATCTTAAAATATGAAAAGATTACATTATATAAATTTAGAATCTTAATATATGTATTTTGGATGATGCTTTGTAACAACCAAGCCTATCATTCTGTTTAAAGCTAATAAAAAAAGATTTGGATTTGATTCGATTTTGTTGGAATCATGAACCAAAGTATCCATCTTTTTCGGCTTTTATTGTACATATCCGAAGCAACAAATTTTGAAACTGATCAATTCAACCCTCATTTTAGATACTAATACACACTTGTTTTCATAATTTATATATTTTTTATCTAAATATATGTTAAATAACGGAAACCAATACAATCAATTTAAAAGAAAAAGCTTTATAATTCTTACAAAGAAGCTTAGGGATTATTTTGGTTTGTTACAAAATGTATTAGATATTATCTCAATAAATAAATAGTTCCAATACAATATTAATCAAACTTAAACTTAGTTCAACATAGTAAAACTATACATATCTGTACAATAAAATACAAAAACAAATATAATTTTTGTTTTTACCAAGATGAACTAATTCATCAATGTGTTTGGGGATTACTTTAGTGTGGTGGTGGTTGGCGTTGGCCAGCATCGGAGAGTTTTCTAATGAGGTTCAAGATGGTTGGAATAAGCTTAGTGGACAACGAGAGAAACCCATGAAACTGTAATAGGAAAGTAGGATGCTTGTTATAAATAATAAGCAAATCAATGAAACTACATTGATATTCTTGCATTTAACCAGAATGAAAAAATAACTAACCACGCCATGTTGGAATTCGGAAGCTATGTCCATTTGAACCCATAAGGCTTTTATAAGCAAAAAGGTGATGAAAATTAAGATCAGGTACAATGGATTCCTGAAATATATATATATATATATATATATATATATATATATATATATATATATATATATATATATTACAATTTGGTACTGAGTCAGTCAAAATAGTTGAATAGATAAATATGATATGCTGAAATGAAATGAAAAGAAAATAACCTTAAAAGAGTTATGAATTCATTGAACCCTAACACAAATAAGGCAAGGATAGCCCATGGAGGAGGCATCCAGTTGTTATTTTGTTTGTTAGCTTTCTGGAAGAAAACAAAAGGCATTCATTTAATAAGAAATCACATTATTTTCCCAAACCTATCTCCCCTAAAATAACAACATCACACCTGGGCAGAAATAGCTTGACTGACTGCATACTCTGTCTCCTTTTGAAATTGGGTCCATAAAGATTTACACTGGACAGGAGTTATCAACGTCTTGTCTGCTGGAATCTAGGTGTAAATTAATTAACCAAAGGTAAAAACATATATACAATATAAGGATCATTAAATTTCAAAGAATGAATTACAATCACATAAGTTAAGTTATATACCTACCTTTTCCCATTTGCTTGTTGCCAAAGGGTCTTGAACATTGGAGTTTTTATCAGACGCTTGGGCAGGATCAGCTAAAGCCACAAGTAGTATACCCTGAATTTTATCACCATAATCCTCCAAGCGAATTGCCGCCAACACAGATAGTAACTTCAAAGACTAAAACATTCATTATATAAGAAAACAATATTTATGATTTTTTTATCTAATGTTCAAATAATTCAATTCTTACAGAAGTGCGGGCAGTTTTATTGATTGCACGAATATCTTCTTTTCCAGTCCAGACACGTGGCATTAGATCATTATCATGGTTAAATATGGTTGTAAACCTATGAGTGTGCATTTTATTAGTATTATGTTATCAAAAACTACCTTTCTAAAACATGGGGTGGGTTGGAATAATTAATAATTAATGAATTACATAACATACCTCTCTTTCATGCGGTTTAGAACTTTAGCAGCTTCTTCTTTAGTCTTCCCTTCAACTACTTCTACTGCATAATTCTCCAATCTTGAAAGTAGATTTTTCTTGGCGGATTCTTCCATTTCTAAACCAGAAAGTGCATCAGAAAACTCAAATACAGCTGTCTCGCTCTCGTTTCTAAGAAGCTTCCTGATTGCATGCCACGTGTCATCAGCAGCCCCTTCTAGAAGAGCTTCCACAGGTCCATATAATGTCGTCTTTACTTTTGACTGCATAACAGTTCCTTTATTTAGTTGAGAACTTGAGTCCCGGGACCAAAAATTCTAATTTTTGCATCACTCCCAGACTAAAAGCATTTCAAACTCCTATCTTATATTCTTCTATTCTATATTGTCTAACAAATGAAATATGGCATATTATTACCTCATATAATGCAGTAAGATCAGAAATCTTAGCAGTCTTTACATCAGCAATATGTGAATCGATGTCATGAGAAAGTTTAACCCTTGCTTTGGAGGAGTCCCAATCAGCTTGCTTAATAATCACACCTTCAGATTCAATGTATAAAGCCCATAGAATCATAAACCGAATAACTATTTTCATTTGTTTTTCCAATGACGCATAAAAACATTCATCTAATAATAATATAATGAATTTATTGGGGATCAAATGAATATATAGATACCTTTGCTTTGTTCATCAAATGATTTCA